GGAGACAAGGGCGTTCATAGAGTCTATGAAACAATTCAGCATACTGCAGTGTTTGTCACTGAAATTTACAGTATCTGATACTAGCAGCGAATTTTCAACGTAAAGCACACAACCACCACCTTTTCGACTTTGACGGTCTGCTCTAAGACTGTTGTACCCATCTATAGCTATTTGAGCATCACTAATATATGGCTTCAACCATGATTCAGTGATAGCGAGAATAGGGACCGGTGGTCTTCCTGGGTCGTCAAGTATGTGGTCTTGGATGAATGGAATCTTCCATTTTACACCCTTTTACAGTGCTGGTTGCGGATGGGGAGATGGACCGAGCATTCAGTAGCAAGATCCTTGATAGTTGGGCATGAAGTTTAGTGGCATCGGCATCCGAATTGGCTGGTTTGGGAGTGTCACTTGGGCTGGGAACTGTGTTGATGGTGGGAACTGTGTCGAGATTTGCTGAGAGGATGTTTGGCGTGATCTCGGGTCCAGCTGGCTCCGTTGTGTCTCTTGGACAAGGGCTGGAATTTGCCCTCGAAGTTCCTCCATTTTGGAGTTCATCTGGGTTATTATTCCGTTTTTCATGTTTTCCATGAGCTTCTCTAAAAAAGCACTATCCCTCTCAGATGTACTGTCTTTACGTTGTCTGAGGGGTTTCTGATGTTCAACAGTGGGTGGGTAGGGGGTGTTGAGGGAGTTTAGACTACCCATTCTGTCCACATCATAACCACCAGGAGGCGGCCAGGAACTTCTGTTCGTGTTGAATTCTATTCTTCTTGTATCTTTGGGCTGCTGCTGCTGAGGCAGGCGATTTCTGTCAGTGGAATTCACGTTTCCAACAGTCTTTCTGGCTGTTCCTTTAAGATGATGGAAGCCACACTCGCTGTTTAAACATACGTGATTCGCAACTGAATTACGGCACAGTTTGGGGTGGAAAAAAGTGCATTTCTTCCCATTCCTACATCCTCTGCGTTTGTCGTCTCCGAAATTGGAGTAAAAGCGGCATCTGATGGGGTGCTGGTATGAGCATTTCTTACCACCAATGAGACGTTTGCCAGTGAGGCCGTGGGGACACTTCCTCATAGTGTATTCCCGGCAAATCTGGGGGTTATTTTCGGTATCATTATGTCTACCTCTTCTAGGGCTTTCCCTGTCTTCATCCTCATCCTCATCTTCATCTTCATCTTCATCGTCGTTTCCCTCGGCCTCTACCTCAGATTCAGCCTCTTTAATAGTGGATAGATCTGATGTACTATCTGAGTTCCTTTTCTTGGTAGGTTTCTGGGGATGTTGAAGTGAGCGTGTTTCGTTCTTTTTTGAACATTCGTAGCAGAGCCAAGATCCTCCTAAAGGAAGCAGTCCTTTCTGGGTGAGATCGTTGAAGGTCTTGGCTTTTTCGGCCATGGCTTCACAATCGTGGGAGCCCTGTAAGCATAGCCGGCATCTTAAGAGCGGTTCTTTTCCCAGTTCATTACAGTACACCTCGTTACAGTCCTCGCATTCTATGTCGAACAAGGACTCGATCTTGAGAATCATTCTATCACACAGAGTCTGCTTATTCGTGTACAGTTTCTTCACACCATCTCTGACATTAAAACCTAGAAATATTGCACAGGGTTCTAGTTGAACTGCGGTGAGTGATTTCATATCCTTCAGATTGGTCTTATAACTTGCACTGAAACTATACACACTGAGAACTTTCTTGCTGGGGGCATCAGCTTTGTTAAGTAGGCTTCCAAGTACACGTTTCTTAGCATCATCGCTTACTGATTTCAGGTTTTCCTTGTTTTGCATATTGATAACCTTTAAATGTCAGTTACACACACTGTTTGAGTTTTATACAAGCAATGTACAATAAATGTACAATGGCACGCGTTCACTTATCGCAATTTAGCAACTTATAACTGATAAGCGAGCACTTAAAAATACAACCAAACAAATGTCAGCTTGGAGTCTTTTGAGAGTATTGAACTCAGTGGTTTATCAATATCACACGGGTCAATACAGGGAATAATGGTAACGTGTGAGGTATCTTGTTTATTAGCAGAGCAGAATTGTTTTAACGAATACCTCACAAACGACCCTATGTTATTCACTAGATATAAACGATAGTCAATGTAGAAGGACGGTAAAAGAGACCAGCCTCTCCTTTCTACTAGTTAGGTCTGTTAGTTTAGCTGACAACACAGCATGGTCAACATTACAACTCTTATCATTGTTATTACTCCGATTAATGTACCGGTATCTGTTCCATGTCCACACAGCTTCTACAGCCATCAACAAACTGGTAACATCCTTAGACACAGATACAGGTACAGACAACCAGTCCAACAACTGATTAAATAACATGTTCATATCCATATCATGGTACAAGTTGGGTATAATGGTACATCTAGATACTGTTGTTGAGCTGGATCCACTTAATTCATCAGAACTATCATGAGCCAACTCAGTTCTCTGTTTGGAATATTTGCGAAGAAGCTCAAAAGTCCATCTCATTCTCTCATCTGGAAGTTCCCCAAGAACATCAAATAAATTGTCAAACAAAACTCTGTCAGACTTTTTACAGAGAGAAAGATTAGAGTTTTCCAGAAGATACTCACAAGAAACAGAAAGACTGGAACCCTGAACTTTAAACTGTTCTGATAACTGATTAGTTAGAGTTTGTACAACACAGTTAACTTCAGAATCAGCTAGCTCTATCACCATGTCTAGTTTCTGTGTAGATAATCTGTCTGCATTCTCAAGATACCTGTCTATAAACTCCTGCTTCCACTTCATTATCTCAATCTTCTTGATGGTAAGATTTAGATAATCTTTTATCTTCAGCTTCTCATAAACAAACCCTGCTTCTTCAAATAAATAAAGTAGTTCTGTATAAGTTGGTGTTTTAACCGAGTCAGCTACTTCAGTGAAATACTCAGCACATTTTACAGCTAACCAAGACATTTCAAACACATAAGCCATCTTGTTGATGTCCCTGAATAGTTCCCTGGTTAAGTTCCAGAGTAAGCTGCATCAACAAGCAGCTGAACAGCAGCTTTACTGAACTCCAACATGTCCACACTGGTCATGTGAAGGGTGGTTGTCATGTGATCAATGACGGGACTGTTGAAGGATAGGATCACTGAACTGGCTCGTACCTCACCTCCCTCACTTGTGTTCAGTTTTAGGTTGCTGTGAGTTGGGGATCCTATCAGGTGCCTTCCAAAATCCATCGGTACACTCACTTTAGGTAACATAATGATATTTCTTGATTCCTGGCTAAAAATAGTTTGTTAATTTGATGTTGACAAAATTGAAATATCGTACTAATATATCAGATTTTAATGTTATTCAAAATATTGTGATAAAAATAAATTTCAATGTTCATACTTTTATCTTATGAAAAGCAGTAAATTTCTGTACTAAATTTCTGCAGTAAATTTCTGTACTAACAAATCTTCTATAATAGTCAAAACATTGTGCGGTTTAAATTTGAGAACTAGATTATATTTGAGAATTATATGCATTAAGCATTGCCATAGCTATACCTAGTGAAAATATACTGCTCGAAATAAAGATCGAGCAAGCTGCTGCTAGCTCATCATCTTGTGCATATAAATTGGAGGATGGCTGCCCTGAATTTAAGACTGAACTTACTACAAATGAAGATATGATTGAAATGGGTCATATGAATTCCTGTAGCTCTGTAGGTTAGTCCTTTAGTCATAAAAACTGAAACTGTAGACTGTAAAGAATTTCAATGTGATTATTAAAAGTACTGCCCGATCATCTATAATATTTGAAGTCTCCTAAATAAAGTGCCGGGCTAATAACATGATCAGTTTCTGTCCAACACTGTTATTGAGCTTCGACCATGTTGCTCGAGCAATTATATGTTGCTCAGGCAATTATTAGGGGTGGTTTGGACAGTATATAGATTAGTCTCATTACTTGCTGCACGACAACAGTGGAACATGTCCCCGGACACAAATAATGCTTCACATTGACCCGGTTAAAAGAATTGCTGGGTACTATAAGAACGATTTCAAATTACTGCTAAGAGATCAGGACAGTACTAACAGTTGCTCAAGCACTAAGTTTTATCCCCTGAACATCGATTCAATTGATTTTGATGTCGTTCAACTCTTCAATATAACTGCTGATCCAAATGAAGCTGACGATATATCGTCGGGTAATCCTGATATTGTGACGGATATGGTCTATGATGTTACTGACTACCTAAAGGAACAGAGACCATTGCAATGTCAGCTTCCTACAGTCGATGGAAGCTATCCTAATTCTGATGTCCCTGGATATTACATACCATGGGATTATAGCCCAGAATACTTACCGTCTTCTGCATTTCACAAGCAGTTGAAATACAAATAATTGAGTTAAATATCATGTTCGAGTAGTAAAACGAAACTTTAACAAATTATCGAAGATCAACAGTTGATAAAATTTACAGGTTAGCATAATTGCTCAAAAATAAAGGAAATTAGTTAATTAATAAATCTTAAAACATGGTGAGCAAACTTTATAATTTATTCAACCAAAAATGTGGGCAAAAATGGAGCTAGTTTAGCAAAAATGTAGGTCAAACATTTAAAAAAAATAAAACTTTGAAAATTCAACTCTGGTTTTCAAATCGTTAATAAAAATGTTGATGGTTGAACTATCTTGCCTAGGGCCTAGTATAGGCAGAGCCTAGTATCGGCAGAGCTATTATTATCATAATTGAAGAAAACGGAATTCGATAAATATCGTCAAATTTTATTTATCTTAGATAATTATAATCTACATCCATTCAGCAATCTACCATAAAAGTTAAAAGTCATAATATTAATATTTCTGAAACTAAATGATTTTCGGTAAAAATTGGTAAAAAGTTTTAGTCTTAGAAACAAAAAAAGATACAAAATATGAAATAAAAATTCGTATAAGTTTCTTTGAAATTAGAGATTCACTCTCAAGCTCATATCATGCAAAAGACATGAAAAAATGTCCTTTTTAAGTTTTCAATACTCTGGGATTTCCTCCTCGGACCAGGCTATCTTAACCGGTAACCCACTAACCGCAGACTCCTTACAAGCCTCCACTACCTTGCTCACAGCCCTGGTCATCCTCTCTGTCACAGACAACTCCACCTTACCCCTCACCAAGTCTACAAAATAACCCAGCTGGTTCTTAAACGCTTGGTCGTAATGAGATGGGAAGGAGTAATGTAACGGAGTGCTGGTGGAACCTGATGGGTCACTTGTCACCAGGTGGTTGGGTCTGGAATGTTCACAGTGCAACATACCAAGAGGTCCAAACACTTCCAGTCTCTGATCGTACCCGTAGCTGGAGTACCTGTTCAGGTCTATCGTACCCAGAGTACCGTGCTTGAAGGTCAGGACGATTATCATGTTGTCGTAGTCGTTGTAGTCGGAGAACTCGGGTATTTGAGCGTTTCCAGCCACAAACACTTGTACAGGAACATCCCCGGTAACCCAGAGTAACAAGTCGATATCATGAACTGAGAAATCATCAAATATCCCTCCAGAGGGTCCGATATAAGACAGGGGAATGACTGGAGAGTCTCTGCTGACTGACTTGATAGTCTGAACTTTACCAACAGCACCGGCCCTTACCTGAGCCTGGATGTGCGAGTAACTCGGATCAAATCTCCTGTTGAAAGCACAGAATAAAGGTAGGTCAGCCTGAGCTGCTGCCTGGTAACATTGTCTTGTTCTCTCTAGACTATCTGATATAGGTTTCTCACAGTACACCGCCTTATTAGCAACTACAGCTGATAATATGAGATCTACATGGGAAGCAGTGGAGGACGCTATGATAACAGCCTCAATACCCGGATCAGAGAACGCGCTCTGTGGATCACATGACACTGTCACGTGGGCTGGTATCCCGTGCTGCGCGCGAACCTCACCAGGGTCCTGCCGGGGAGACAGCACCACGCAGCAGAGCCTCAACTGTGTGTTAGCTCTGATGTTAGACAGGTACATGACACCAATACGACCGAGACCAATGAGAGCTACTGCTAGTGGTGCGATGCTGTCACGTGGTGAGATGCTGTCACGTGGTGTGGTTCTAGTGTCACGTGGTGTGATGCTGTCACGTGGTGTGGTGCTGTCACGTGGTGTGGTTGTAGTGTCACGTGGTGTGGTTCTAGTGTCACGTGGTGCGATGCTGTCACGTGGTGAGATGCTGTCACGTGGTGTGATGCTGTCACGTGGTGTGATGCTGTCACGTGGTGTGTCACGTGGTGTGTCACGTGGTGTGTCACGTGGTGTGTCACGTGGTGTGTCACGTGGTGTGGTTCTGGGTTTTAAACCTTGCTGTTGCCATCTGGAGGAAAATAGTTGTTATTATTGTTAACCATTGTACTGTATAATACTATGATTTATTTTCATTCGACGAATAAAATAATTTCCGGACATGATATGGTGAAAGTCTAATATCGTTTTAATTTTCCTGATTGTTTAGTATTTACGGTAAAAGGAAGATAGCTTTGAAACAATTAAACGTTACGTACATACAAAATATCAAAACTCAAATAAACATATTTTAATGAAATAGATACACCAAATTTTCATACAATTCATCGCAATTTAAAATTTCAAGGCAAGAATCCGAACAACCTCACAACCTGTCTCTATACGGAAGGAAAACAATAACTCTTAATTAACTACTAATTAGCCACTAATTAACTCCTAATTAGCCACTAAACTGTAATTCTAAGAAACCCCATGAGCGGAATAGTCTGACGCCCCCGGAGTTTTGTGGTCTTTGAGCTGTGCGGACGATTCGTAGGTACATATCACAACGCCACGTTTCTGAGCCTGCCGGGGTATTGACTTATTGACAGTGAATATAAGCAATGAATTACTAGAGAAGTGGATTTTACAATCATAGAAAAAGTACATCACAGTAAAAAGTTTAGAATTTTAGGAGATAGATGAATAAAATATATCAATTATCAAGCAACTAATCAGCATATTTACCTCCGAAAAGTCACCTCGCAGCCCGATGTGACAGATTTTAGTTTCATCTGCTCCAAAGTTCTTGTCAAAATAGAGTGACAAACTGTCACAGTTGTTGAATCTTGCTACCCTTACGAATAATTTTGTTAAAAACGGTCCGGCAAAAACTTGTTTAAGTAGAGACAGAAATAAAATAATGTTGTGACACTGAAACTGGTCTCAAGATTGAATGTAATCATTACAATTAACACTGTTACAGTATCAATCAAATAATAGGTAATGTTCATCTTCACATCATGTGTTAAACAGTGAACAGTAAATAATAAATCACATAATTACATAATTAATCACATAATTACTTGGTCTGGTACTCCACTACACCGTCCTTGTCGTGCTGTAAATCAAACTCCTGTTCAGCGTGTCTACCAGCGTCATCAAAACTAACCGGTACTGCGTTCTTAAACCTACACGTGCATTCCAGTGTGACATACACGAAATATACACTTGATATACACATTGTATACACATGATATACACGTGACACAACGCGATACAGTTCGGTGTGGCAATTCTACGTTGTTTTTTACATTATTTTGCTAATCTCGAAGTTTCATTGATGTAAAAAGTGAATGTTGGGAGAAAGTGTAAACTCACACTTTGAGATGAGAAGGGTCACTCTCGCCACCGCCACCTATAACTATAATCCCTTTAAAGTTTTAATTTGACACTTCCAGTAAAAGAGAAGTTGAACAGTAACTCCTCATCCAAATCACTCTCTACAAGCTGAAAATATCCAAGTCACTCTCTACATGTATGTAACATGTATGTAATTAATTTTGTTCCCGACCTTTGGACGTGAGCCTACAACAACCTCATAGAAACTACCCAAAACATCTCGCGCTACAAACCTTTGATTTATCCTTCCTCAAATCCCAGGGTTTAAAAACGCTTGTTCCTGCCCCCTCTACAGTTTCATTGAGACAGTCCAAAGTCTGGAAATCTATCTTAATTTTTGTTAGTTAATTATTGAACCTTTTTATCATGAATTAAATCGCTATAAGATAATTTTAAATAAAATAAAGAGCAATTACTAGGGATAATCGGACCCCGTCTCACCTTCAATAAAACGTGCTTGTTATCATTTTAAGAAGTTTCTTACTTTGCTAAGTATTGAGTGCCTTTGTGTGAATCTTGAGTTCTCTCTGTGTAAACTAGTTTAATGTAAGATTTACTGACAAAGCTTTCAGAGATAGTGTGTGCTCCATGGTAATTTGAGGTGATTTTCTACAGGTTGCTTGTTTGTTTGTTTTGAAAGTTTACAAATAGTTTGTTATATAATCATGAGGAGGGATGGGGAGGTTCAGGGAAATGATAAAAACTCTGACTTACTCCAGAAAACCAACTCTAACCTACTCCACAAGTTCCTCACAAGTTTCAGATGAAGATATTACGCTGCTCCAAGTAATTTGTTGTTTTGATACCAATAACATCCTTAGCTGAAGATCACTTATTATATGTTTTAAACAAATCCAGGTACCAATAATCATTTCTTTCAGATGAGTGTTTTTCTCAAACTGCTTTAGTTTGTGATGGAAGACAGTAAAACTGAAGATTCCGGATTCTTATCCGTTTCTTTGTTCAGTGGTCCACCAAACCACCATAAATACCTCAAACTATCTTTCTCAGAGCGGGAGTAGTGTTTGGTCACTACTTGAAGATAAAGACGAGAATGGGTGCAGCGTTTCCATATCTTCAACTCCCACTTCAGTTCAAGGTGAAATGATATCCTGGCCAGCGGAGGTGAGGGTATTTGAGTACACTGCACGACAACTTTTAGCAGGTCACTATCAAACTCAATATTTGACCCTTCAGTATAATAGTTGTAGATTATATTTTACAACTTTTAGCAGGTCACTATCAAACTCAATATTTTACCCTTCAGTATTATATTATTTATAGCTTTATAGTTGTAGATTATATTTTTCTGCTGTTTCAGCCGTTTCCTAAGAATCGTTTCCCGTTGGGTTTCGCTGAGGCAATGACAACAATAATTTACAACCTTTCTAATTTGATGATTCAGAAATGGTTATTCTTGAGAACTTTACGGTTATCAAGCTTCGACAGCATCTTGAAGCTATCTTGGGTAGAAAGAAACATTTCAAAATGCTACGAGCTGAAGATAAATGGCCGATAGCTTATGGCTACGAATCGGTAAATTTAAAACCTGATTCCCCTTTCAAACATATAATGTTGATTTCTTACTTTTAATTTCATCAAATTTCGTAGATCTCACAACCTTCAATTAATAGCATTCTGTGAACGATAAATACTCTAAATAAAGACTTTAAAATAACTTAATTTACAGATAGCCCGGATCAAAGACTGTTGCTACTTCCTAAAGGGCTCCTGGATGTTAGACATACAGTTCTACGGCCCTAATATCGGCCAGCATTCCCTATTCAACCGCACATCAGTACACCAGCCCTGTTATCACACAGTAGATACCACCACGGGAACAAGCACACCAGACCCACTCTTCAAAGTAAGACCTGACCGGCACCAGGTGGAAGCAATTAGAGCGGGCTCATTACTGGGGGAGTGGCAGAACCTAGCTACCACCTTTCTCTGCACCAAGGTAATACAGCACCTAGCTACCACCCTTCTCTGTACCAAGGTAATACAGAACCTAGCTATACCACCCTTCTCTGTACCAAGGTAATACAGGACCTAGCTACCAACCTTCTCTGTAACAAGGTAATACAGGACCTAGCTACCACTTTCTCTGTACCAAGGTAATACAGAACCTAGCTACCACCCTTCTTAGTGCCAAGGTAATACAAAACCTAGCTACCACTTTCTCTGTACCAAGGTAATACAGAACCTAGCTATACCACCCTTCTCTGTACCAAGGTAATACAGGACCTAGCTACCAACCTTCTCTGTAACAAGGTAATACAGAACCTAGCTACCACTTTCTCTGTACCAAGGTAATACAGGACCTAGCTACCAACCTTCTCTGTACCAAGGTAATACAGGACCTAGCTACCACCCTTCTCTGTACCAAGGTAATACAGAACCTAGCTACCACCCTTCTCTGTACCAAGGTAATACAGAACCTAGCTACCACCCTTCTCTGTACCAAGGTAATACAGGACCTAGCTACCAACCTTCTCTGTACCAAGGTAATACAGGACCTAGCTACCACCCTTCTCTGTACCAAGGTAATACAGGACCTAGCTACCACTTTCTCTGTACCAAGGTAATACAGAACCTAGCTACCACCCTTCTTAGTGCCAAGGTAATACAAAACTTAGCTACCACTTTCTCTGTACCAAGGTAATACAGAACCTAGCTATACCACCCTTCTCTGTACCAAGGTAATACAGAACCTAGCTATACCAACCTTCTCTGTAACAAGGTAATACAGCACCTAGCTACCAACCTTCTCTGTACCAAGGTAATACAGAACCTAGCTACCACTTTCTCTGTACCAAGGTAATACAGGACCTAGCTACCACCCTTCTCTGTACCAAGGTAATACAGAACCTAGCTACCACCCTTCTTAGTGCCAAGGTAATACAAAACCTAGCTACCACTTTCTCTGTACCAAGGTAATACAGAACCTAGCTATACCACCCTTCTCTGTACCAAGGTAATACAGAACCTAGCTACCACTTTCTCTGTACCAAGGTAATACAGGACCTAGCTACCACTTTCTCTGTAACAAGGTAATACAGGACCTAGCTACCAACCTTCTTAGTGCCAAGGTAATACAGGACCTAGCTACCACCCTTCTCTGTAACAAGGTAATACAGGACCTAGCTACCAGCCTTCTTAGTGCCAAGGTAATACAGGACCTAGCTACCACTTTCTCTGTAACAAGGTAATACAGGACCTAGCTACCAACCTTCTTAGTGCCAAGGTAATACAGGACCTAGCTACCACCCTTCTTAGTGCCAAGGTAATACAGGACCTAGCTACCACCTTCTCTGTACCAAGGTAATACAGGACCTAGCTACCACTTTCTCTGTAACAAGGTAATACAGAACCTAGCTACCACTTTCTCTGTACCAAGGTAATACAGACCTAGCTATACCACCCTTCTCTGTACCAAGGTAATACAGAACCTAGCTATACCACCCTTCTCTGTACCAAGGTAATACAGAACCTAGCTATACCACCCTTCTCTGTACCAAGGTAATACAGGACCTAGCTACCAACCTTCTCTGTACCAAGGTAATACAGAACCTAGCTACCACTTTCTCTGTACCAAGGTAATACAGGACCTAGCTACCACTTTCTCTGTACAAAGGTAATACAGAACCTAGCTACCACCCTTCTTAGTGCCAAGGTAATACAAAACCTAGCTACCACTTTCTCTGCACCAAGGTAATACAGAACCTAGCTATACCACCCTTCTCTGTACCAAGGTAATACAGGACCTAGCTACCAACCTTCTCTGTACCAAGGTAATACAGGACCTAGCTACCACTTTCTCTGTACCAAGGCAATACAGGACCTAGCTACCACCCTTCTCTGTAACAAGGTAATACA